AAATGTTTTGTGCCTCATTTTTCTTGGTAATATATCAGTTGGTACCATTTATACCTTTCTAAAAATAATTATTTCAAAATCACGAGTGCAGTCCTGATAATATTAGGGGTTAAAATGAAACCTAGGCTATATGTGGTTTTAGTGCAGATTAACTTCTTTAATCTGGCATTGCATTTGGGTTTAGTTTACTCAATGGTTTTAATTCCGTATCTATAACACATATAAGTATGCTTATGAAGAATTTTTCAGAATATCATGTGTTTCTTCATATTGATCAATCCATGACAATTTTACAATATTTTATTGCATTACTTTAAATAATGAGAAATATATGTAAAAGTAGCAGAAATTGACTTATAATTTGTTAGGTGCATTTGTCATTTTTTTCACTTGCTTTTTGAAATTCATAGGTAAAAAGGCTGGAAGTTCTCAGAATTTAACTTCAGACACCAAACCGATACAAGAAAATAAGGGATGTCCAAAAAAGGAATATGAAGCTGAGCATGTAAGGCAAATTATAAAGTATATTTTATATAAAAGTATACAAAGCATATTTTATTTCTGAAAAGGTGTGTTTTAGTATTTGAGAGTGGTAGCAAATGAAAGCATAAAAATGAACATATTTCTAGTATGCAACCTGTGATTGAGGTGTAACTGTTCTTTTTACTATATGGTTTAATCGTTCTGTGCCTTCTGGTGGTGTAAGTTGCCACTGCAGTTATATGTGATCGACTCTACTCCTATAAAATGGATTTCTGACCTTTTCATATATTAAATATGAACAGTTCTTACTTGCTTTTTGTGAATAATTCATAGTTGTTACTTACACTTCCCTGGAATAAATGTTTGATGGTTTGAAGTACTGGGGGAAAAGCTGTCCTTGAGCACGGTTTGTACCACCAGCTGTTTATTGTAGATGCTTGTATAAGTTAACATTAGGACAGTCATGTTTCGTAAATTTTTAATGCAAATTTTGAATAAACAATAGAAATAAGAAGTGACTAAGGCTGATGATTCTAGTGGCAGTGCAGCATGCAGGACTTGAAACTGGATCTCATCTTTGGTCCTTGCCTTTTCCATATGTGTAGGCTTTAAGTACCATTAAAACTTGGCCCTGGGAAGAAGCACTGGGCAGTGCTTTCATTAATCTCTTAAGAAATAAGTGTCTCCAAAGGAGGAAAATGTAGTGGGAAGGGAAAGGAGAGGGAGAGAAATGAGACCAATAACTGTGGGGAATTAAAAATTAACCTGCCTCCCCATTCTATTTTAGTGGCATGTGTTATAAAACATTTACAACCATCTGCTGCTGGGGATATTACTGGAATTATAGTTTCACTCTCTTTGGAAGCTGAAACTGGGGCGTTGACTCTGCATCTGTTGCAAAACTTGATAAATACTGTGCAAACGAGCCCTGACTCCAAATTGCTTTGAAGTTTTTCAGCACTGATCAACAAAATCCAGATTAGCCAAGGGAAAAAAAAAAACCACTCTGCAGCTAGAGTGCCTGCAGAACTGCCAGCCAGCAGATGATGATGTGTATTTCCCGGGAAAATTTGTAAATTCTTTTCACTGTAAAAATAATAATAAAAAAATCCACTTTTGAAATAACTCCTGCCAATCAGTTCTTTGTCTCTTTGTCACTAATTGTCTTTTATATGCAGAAAGAAGGGTTTAATTTCTGCCTAGTGGATCTCTAGGAAAAAATGTGTTTGTCTTTCCATGCTGTGGCAATGAAGACAACCCACTGGATACGAGAAGAAACTGTGGTAAGATGATACTTGGGATTGTGGAGTTTTAGCCACAGTTTCTTCTCGTATCCAGTGGGTTGTCTTCATTGCTATAGCAAGGAAAGACAAATCAAACAGGTTTTTTTCTTAGAGCTGTTTACAAATTTTAGGAAAAACTTTATTAAAATCACCAAAGTGATTCTAAGAAGTCTTGAATGGTTACAGATTTGTTCGTATATGTAGATCCTGCCTATTTTGTCGTATTACAGATGACCTAAATTTAAGAAAGGGAAAATTAAAACAGAAATCAGAAGCATTACAATGTCTTTAAGACAATGGAAGCAATTTGGGAAGATGGAAATATATTGACTGAGTTTAGCTCAGTTTCTGGTGGTTTTCTATATATGGGCACGTGTGTGTGTGTGTGCATCTTGAGCTTGATAGAACATAATGCAGTTTTCAAAACTGATAGGAATTAGCTGCTATTAATATATATATATATATATATATATTTTTCCTCCTGAGGTCCTAGTAGGAAGGAGCAGCAGTTCAGATGAACTGGATTTGAAAGGCGACTTGCAGCAGTCGCATGGAAATCACCAGGAGAGAGAAAAGAGTGAGTTGCAAGAAATACCGTGTTTTTCTGCATCTACTCCCTGTAGCAGCTGATACCGATGTGCTAACACACGAGACGCTTTTGATCATGCTTTGCTGATGTTATGGCTAAAAAGCATTCCTGATTTTTGTTCATCCCCTGCTTGCTTCAGGTGAGAGTGTGAGCAGTGACGCATCCCTTGGCTATAATAACGAAGTGGAGATCGCGCTTATCCCCTGGCAAACGCCTGAGGAAGAGCATGAGGTTAATGCATCAGCAGATGTTTGTGTGGATCCCCAGGTACCTCGCTGGTTTCAGCTTAGTCCTTCAGATGCTACAAATTTAACAGGTACTTAGGCTAAAGAAAGTGTTTTAGATTTTAGATTTTTATCCCCAAGGGAGTTTATACAGTGCAATTGGATTACAAAAGTATGTTGTTTAAGCCAAGGAAGAATTAATTACTGCTTTAATTCATCCTAATTGCACAGTCATTTTTTTCCACTTTGAATTTTCCACAGAGAAGACTGAGAGGGGATCTGATCAATACGTGTAAGTACCTTAGGGGAGAGTGTAGGGAGAATGGGGCCAGGCTCTTCTCTCTGGTGGCCAGTGATAGGAGAAGGGCTAATGCGTACGAGCTGAAACACAAGGAAGTTCCACCTCCATGTAAGGAAGAACTTCTTTAGTGTGGGAGTTACAGAGCCCTGGAATAGGCTGCCTGGAGAGGCTGTGGAGTCTCCTTTGCTGGAGGTCTTCCAAACCTGTCTGGATGTCACCCTGTGCTCTGAGTGTCCCTGCTTGAGCAGGAGGTTGGACTAGATGATCTGTAGAGACCCCTTCCAACCTTAACCATTCTGTGATTCTATGTGAAAACAAAACATGGGTTAGAAAGATTCTTTATTTCCTTTATTGGGGTGTGTTTATTCTTAAGGGTATTTTTCAAGTTGTTTCATGTTGTAAATGACTTGCAAACATTATCACCAAGGTTTTGTTCGTAGTGTGTTGTTAAAGAGGAGATTTGAATGCCCAGAATTTAAAGAATTGGGAAAATCAGTTTGAAGCTGATGTAGGTCCTCATAAATTGCGAACTGGAAAATAAGCACACAGTTGAGATTGATTGCATTATCATATGCAATTACCACTCATCAGCTGAGATGTAGTAGCTGATTACATGGGCACTCTTTGCCTGCCCTTGTGTTGAAAGAAAATGATTAAATTTAATACATGTTTAAGGTTGATAGACTGTATTTCATAGGTAGGTGGTCTAAGAATGTGCAGGAAATTTCTTACTGTGTATTTCAGCTGATAGGAAACAATTGGTTAATTCGCAATATATTTCCGTGTTTTAATCTTATCCTTCTTTTCTATACTTGAAGAACACAAGGACAAAGCAAGTTGTAGAAAGAGAAAGAATTTTGTTAGACCTAGAATTCATTTCTTTTGGAGTTTGGCTTTAACTTTCTTAAGAAGCAAGTTACCTGACAGACTGCAAATTTTACTGTTTCTTTGTAAAATGTTAATGCTTGAGCATATTCTTCTTTGCTATTACCGTATTTTTTTTAGTTGCCTTTTCTTCTGTTGCTGTTTTTGTTATGACTGAATGGCACACTGAACCTGAATGAATCTTTATGATATTTTGTCCTGATGCAGCATGTTTTCTCCCTCACCTAAAAATATTTTGTTTTAGATAAATAAATGAAACTCCAAGTCATTGGTTAGATTGAGTACTCATATTTAAGGAAATCCCTTCAAAACTGTTCAGAATAATTATTCCTGTTATGTAACTATGTTCATATTTTATTGACCAAATTTACATTGCATTTCTGATTAGTAGAAATTGAACTTTTTTTTTCGAATTTACAGATAGTAGTGAATTCCTTGCTGATGACTGCAGTATAATTGCTGGTGGAAGCCTTACAGGTTGGCATCCTGATTCTGCCGCTGTGCTATGGAGGAGAATCTTGGGAATTCTTGGCGATGTGAACAACATACAGTCTCCTAAAATCCATGCAAAAGTTTTTGGGTATCTCTATGAGCTGTGGTATAAACTTGCAAAGGTATTGTATACAATGTTTACTTTAATGATAATGATTTTTTCATTTGTTGTAAGAATGATTATTAGTTTGGATTTAGAAATAGCATCTAGGACATAAGGGTGATTTTTGGGTGATTCTTTCATATAGATAATTTTATAGGCATTTCAGTGGGTATCCCCAATAACATGTTCCTCTTCAGTGATTTTAAATGAGATTTTAAATGAATTATTTGAAAAGGGGTGATGAAACAGTGGCAGAGAAAATAGAAGTGTAGCCTAGAATATCATCAGTGTTGGTGCTCAGCATAAAAATCCATTGTATGTCTAAAATGACAATTGCTTAGCATGTGGGGAAGCATTGTCAAACAATCTTTGGTAGTTCTGGTTTCTGTAAAAATCCAGTGTGTACCACAGGGTTTAGTACTTTTGATAGAATAAATAAAATGGAAAAGCAATCATTAGAATGAAAGAACTATTTTTGGCTAAGTTACTGTTTTTATTATCCTTTTTGTTTAAAACATCAGATAAGAGACAACCTTGCTATAAGTTTGGACAATCAATCTACTCCCTCTCCTCCTGTTTTAATACCTCCTCTCAGAATATTTGCATCGTGGTTATTCAAGGTAAGCTGCATTTTAGGTTAATGTTTCCTACTGTATTAATACTGAAACTGTACACATTTAGTTCCATGATTCTTAATTCTCACAATCTCTGAGACGATGGATCCCCTCCAATGTAGGTGGACTTAGATTAGTCCACCTAATCTAAGTTACCAAAGCAGTTTTCTTCTGTTTACTATTTGTACGGAGTCTGTTTTAGTAAAGAAATGCTTTAGACTTGCTCTATAGAAAGTCTTGCTGAATATTCAGCCTTATGTTAACTGGCTGGTAGAAGAGATGAGTTGGTACAAAGTCTTTGCTCTTTTCAGGCAACCACCCTGCCAAATGAATATAAAGAAGGCAAACTTCAGGCGTACAGGCTGATCTGTGCCATGATGACGAGACGTCAAGATGTTATGCCAAATTCAGATTTCTTGGTTCATTTTTATTTCGTGATGCACCTTGGCCTAACAAGTGAAGACCAGGTATAAACTTGAAAAAATATTCTATTACGAATAGATGTGTCTGTATACTGTGTGCTGATGGGAATGTCTGTATTTGAAGATCTGGGGTAGAAAGGAAGAAAAGCTTTGCAGAAAAATATATGAAACTATCCTGTAGCTTAATATCCTGTGTAGCCTAATGTATTCTTATCTTAAAGTATATAGCATGTTTTCCTCCTTTGTCGTGACTTTCTCATTGCTCTTTAGGTTGTAAGCTTTTAAATATCTTCTGCTTATGCCCTTTCACAAGTCATCTCTTAGAAATCCAACTGTGTTAAGTTTCTTTTTACTTTCACATTAAGAATAATTTAATAAGGAATTAGTGGGGTGCAAAAAAAAAACAAACCCAGTTTAATTTAAAGGATCCCACTGCTAAATGGCACTTACTGCTTTTGCTATCTGGTATGTGATGTAGTGTTTTTGTTCAGATTTAATCAAGAAGAACAGATTTACTCAGAAGAACAATCCCTTGTATGCCGAAGTGTCAAGATCCATGTAAACATCAAGCGTGTATCTGGCACAAAAGTTTGATACCTTTTATTTGTGACTTATTATCACAACTGTATCAGAGATTTGATATTTTTGCCTTGGGTTCTGTATAACCTTAAAGAGCTCTTGTCCATCCATATCATAGGGTTAATAGATGAGTCAAGCTGGTTGTATTGGAAATGTTCATATGCTGGGTTGGTATAAACCCATGTGCTATGCTGCGTGTTTGACCAAAGTGTTTACATTTTGGTTTTGCTAAAATGAGCATCTGTTATGTCCAAATAACCTAATGTTCCTTCAGAAGGCGTGTGGCTATGGAGCTGGTGCTCCCCGAGCTGCTGCCCAAGGTGCTCTCCTCTTTGCGTTCCTGACAAGTTCAGGTAGATGTTCCTGCTTCTTCCCTCCTGTTAGAGGTTTTTCCTTCTGTTGCAGGGCCTGAGGACAATATCAAGTTCTAGACACCCTCCTGGGCAGTGGATGGGCTTATGAGTAGTGTCTGCTCATATTCCTTCTAGTGTCCTTTGCCAGTGCTGGCAACAAGGTCTTCCAGACGTACTTTTGACCTGTTCTTCCATAGACTTTCCCCCTGCAAAATTGGTCCTTCGGGGGTGCTTATGGTGGTCATTTCATCTTTTACCTGGTATGGAAGGGACCACAGCAGGATTTTTAAATGCTCCCCCTGCAAAATTAGTCCTTCAGGGGACATTTATGGTAGTCATTTCACCTCTTTTTACCTGGTACAGAAGGGACCACAGCAGGATTTTTAAATGAGAAGTGAGAGGGAAGGTTGTTTTGTTGCTCTAAGAAGGAGCTGCCATCAAGACATTCTGTTTCTTTGTATTAGTGTCACTTGTGGGTCCACCTGTAGCAGTTTGGCCTGATCTTAGGCTGCACAGTGGGACAGACTACGCGGAGGAAGATGAGGGGAAAAATTCGTTAAGATAGAAGATTATGTGACCACAGAAACAGCTAGGTACTCATAATGGGGAAAAAAAAAAACTATAAGGAACAGATTTTAAGTAGGATTGACGATATTGGAAAACACTTGTATGTTTTCTTTAGTGTTAGGAGGGATGGTTTGTGCTGAGGAGAGCTGCTGTCGTGCTGGGCTCCAGCAGAGGGCGCGCGGCCCCTGCAAACAGCCTTTCTGCTTGTGCCAGAACCCCTGTCCTCAAGGTGCCTGCAAGGCTCGTGTTGAGCCAGTGGGAAACAACCTCCGTGGATACGGTTATTCTAGTTGTAACCAGGCTTAGTTACACGCAGGCCTGATGAAGACCTGTCCTCTTGCTTGACAAGTGCCAAGGGGCTGAGGCTTTGAGGGGCCTGAAAGCTCCGTTTCCCTTGATCGGAGGTCAACATGCCACCCAACTTGGAGCTTTTCCTGAGTGTTTTGATCTGCACATCGTAACAGCAAAACATGGATATTTTGACATATTCCAAGACACCTCCTTTCTAATCTTCCAAGGCATGTGTTTAGCAAGGCATGCTTTTTTTCTTAAAGCAGGCTTGCATCAAGCTTTCATATTATGAAAAGTAGTAAAGTATTAACTCCCTTTCCTGCTGTAGCTGGCTTTGCACAAAACCTGTGTTGATTCTCTCTGGATTGCTTGTTGTTTTGCTGGTGCTTTTTGTAGGAAAGTCAAAGTTCTTACTACAGTTACACAAGCGAGTGCGTGATCTGTGATTTGCCTGGGTGTAGGCCAGTAACATTCTCATGGAAAGATGATAATCCTAAAGACTTTTAATATTATCCTCCATGCTACTCTCGTGGCCTTTTCCCCACTGTACCACCAAATAAAATTCTTCATTAGGAGGGTAAAGACTGGCAGAAGAGAGCTGCATTGGCAAAAATATGTCAAGGCATTTTAGCAAGGTAATAGGGGTGCTCTTGAAATATTGCCATTCTAGATCAACTCTTGATTATTTGTACTACTCCCCTTTCCTTTCTTCACAACTGCATTATGCTAGATTTACATTTTTCTTCTTGGGATAAAGGAGGAAAATCTAAATCAAACTTTCTTTTTCTTTTTTCTCAGATTCAGTTTTGTCACTCAAAATAAAACCCCAGCAAATTTTATGTAGTAAACTGTTTAAGAACTCTGCAGCATTCTGATTTTGCAAAGATACTGTCCATTAAAAATAAGCCAAGTAAGCAGATTTTCTGAGATAACATCTAAAAGTCCTGGCTGCTTTTGCAACAACCAGAAAGCCATAAACACCTGCCACTTCTTCCCCTGTTTGTGGTTTGTAGGAGTGCAAGGGGAGGGCACCTCTGGCCACACAACGTTTCTGGATGGCCAGAGCAGAGCTCCAATAAAAGATTCCTCTGCAACCCCAGAGCCTCCTGGCCTCAGGTGCTCAGTTCACGTGGCCAAGGGCTGCGGAGTCTCTAGATTCTCAGCATTTCCCTAATGCAGTTCAGATTTCAGACAGGGTGCTCTGTGCTGGAGAGCAGAAGGACTTCATGTCCCCACAGAAACCTGTGATAACATCCCTCTATATTCAGACCTCCTGGATTTTTGCCTGTCTGCTTGCTCAGTGGGTGCTTCAAGACCTTGAAAACAAGGTAGCACCCACTACCAAATCAAAGATGAAGGAATAGAAAGTGGAGATGGAGAGGATTCGAGACATATGTTGCTTTTGTGTACACGTTTCCGTGACGTGGACACATTTCTCCCAACTGCTAAGCTCTTGGCACTGTTTTTTCATAACAGGTTTATGGATCTTGTATTTTACTTCCTGCAGAACCACTTCCTGTATGGAAACTAATCAGTTTTTTAATGTGGTGTCAGTTGTTGATGAGTATTTTTGACCCCGTGTGTTTATATTGTTTTGGTCATTAGTGATAACTGTTCTGTTGATTTAAGCTTCTGGCCTTGTTGTAACTGGGATTTCAATCCTCGTGCAGGTTTACAACTTACCAATTAAGCATGCTCAAGGAATGAGGAGTAAAGGAAGACCCTAAACTACAGCTCATCCCAGGCTTTTGCAGATACTTTGCACAGTGATGCTGCTCTTTTGTTCTTCCTTGGCCTGCTCTGTTTTTACCTTTTTTGCCCCTTGGTGGCATACTTGACCACGAGTTTCCTTCTTCTTACTCTGTGTTTGCGCCTCTTCCTTGGTTACAAAACTGATTGAAGTATCAACTCCTGCTGCTTTGGAGCCTAAGTTCTCATTCAGTATGTTTTGTTGTTTACACATTGCACATGCTGAGGGTAAGATCCGTTCCAAGCACAAATGGAGGAGTGTCTTGTACGAGGCAGAAGTGAGTCCGCTCTGTGAGAACAGCACATTGTGAAGCACACGTTGCATAGCACTCTGTTCTCACAGCTTCCAGTAGATGATGGTCATACACAACAAATACAATATACTGCAAAATCTGATACTCATTCTTCTTAATCATTTTTGGTATAAGCTGTTATCTGGTGACCCTGGTAGGGAAAAAGGTATATGGTTGGGCACCAGCCAAACATGGATCCTTACATTTCATAATACTGCAGAATGCACCTGCTCCCCCTTCCCAACCTTGTTTCTAGGATTTAACTTTTTATATACTGAAATAAACTTTTTCTTTGCTCAGATTGCTGTGAAATTCTCCAAATGTGAGAAAAACCTTCACTCGTGATGTCTCAGAGAATTTGCAGGCAGCACGAAACAATAGCTCTGAAATACCGTGTCCCGCTAGGTACCATGTGGCATTTTGAGATGTTATTTGTCTTGTTAAATGGGGCTATTGTGTCTGTTAAAATGAATTTCTCTAACTCCTTGTGTTTCAGAAGCCCTAACAGTCTATTACTATAGCAGACAAAACCACTAATTTCTTTTGACAGAAGTGAACTACTGCTGCCTAGATTTTGTCATATGATTAACAAATCACAATTTTGTGGCAGCTGTATCTGGAGAAGTCTGTGGTGCGCAAAATTCAGTGACTTTTATTTCATTCAATAGAAACTTTAATTTTCAAGTCTGGTAGTACTACGGAATGAATTTTCTGCAAAGCAAGCTTGCTATGAGGTTTGATTTGAGGCTATCAAGAAGTAAAATGATGTCCTTAGTGGGGGAGGAAAAAAATTTATCAGTTAAACTGGAGTCACCCTTTGGAGACTCTGTCTGCCAGGAATTTTCTATGCCAAGCTAATACTGGCAGTAGTCATGTCATTATTAAGACATGTGTGTGCGTTTCAGTATGTCTGCAAGAGGACTTGTGAGACAACATTTCAGATTAGAGAGTGTCATAAAAAGATCCTGGATCGTTCCTTGGTCTCTGTTAATATGGGTCATGGATGTATTTTTTTAATTATTTATGTTTTTTTTGTTTGTGCTGTCCATGGTACCTTAATGAGCAGGCATGCAATCTCCCTTCCACAGGGAGATAAATCACATAGGCAAGATATTTCAGGAGTCTGTTGCCTTTCCACTAACAAGATTAAACTTCCCAGGTGTGGGGGGAAATTTGATCCGGTTTACGCAAAGAGGCTGGAAATTGGAGCCCT